TCGGACCACTGCCCCCTCCTCCTTTCCAACCAGAGTGGGCCCCGTAAACCTGCGACTTTCCGCTTTGAAACCTTCTGGACTAAAATGCCGGGTTTCCAAGAGACGGTTCTACAGGCATGGTCAGCGCCCTCTTCTCACACTCAGCCGGTGCACGTAATCAACCACAAGCTCAAGACCACCGCGCTCAGCTTGCGATCCTGGAGCAGGGGTCTCTTCTGTAACTGCAAGCTTCAGCTCTCCATGGCTCTGGAGGTCATTCTCCAGTTAGATGTCGCCCAGGACTCTCGCCCCCTGTCCACGGAAGAGAGGGCCCTCCGTGCTGGCCTTAAAAGACGGATTCTAGGGTTGGTGGCCTTGGAACGCTCTAGAAAACGTCAGGCCTCCAGAATCAACTATCTTCGCGATGGAGACGCCAACACAAAGTTCTTTCATCTGCGGATTAACTCGAGGAAACGCAAGAACCATATCCAAAGGCTCAAACATAATGATGGTTGGCTGACAACACATGAAGATAAGGAGAACGTCATTCTCGAACACTTCTCCAAGACCTTGGGTCGCCCTCCCCTCCGGCAGCTAGACTTCAATTGGATGGTCGTTGATCCTAGCACCCATGCTTTGGAAGATCTCGACCTCCCCTTCTCTGAGTTGGAAATTAAGGAGGCGATCGATGATATGCCTTCAGAAAAGGCCCCCGGCCCCGATGGATTTTCCATTGCTTTCTTTCAATCATGCTGGGATATTGTCAAAGATGATCTCATGAGGGCCATCACTTCTTTCTCCGAGCAGTCAGCTTCTAATTTCGCCATCCTCAACACAGCTAACATCGTCCTCATTCCAAAGAAGGACGGTGCGGAAGCCATCACGGATTTCAGGCCAATAAGCCTCATCCACGTGGTCCCGAAGATTATCGCTAAAGCTATGGCTCGCCGGCTCGGTCCGAAGATGGATGCTATTGTTTCTCGCTGCCAAAGTGCCTTCATCAAAACAAGAACCATACATGACAACTTTATGTATGTCAGAAACACCGCTCGCAGTCTTCATCGCAGCAAAACTCCGGCTCTCCTCATAAAGCTGGACATTGCCAAAGCTTTCGACACAGTTCGCTGGGACTATCTACTCGACCTTCTGCGCCGTCTCGGCTTTCCTCCTAGATGGCGTGCTCTGCTATCCAGCCTCTTCTCCTCGGCCACTTCTAGAGTAATCCTTAACGGTATCCCCGGTAAGGACTTTGCTCACGGCCAAGGACTTCGCCAAGGAGACCCGCTATCCCCCCTGCTTTTCGATATCGCCATCGACCCGCTGCAACAAATTCTGGATAAAGCAACTGCGTCTGGTTTGATGAGCGAAAGTCCTGGAGGTTCACAACATCCTCGGATCTCTCTTTACGCTGATGATGCTGCCATCTTCATTGCCCCTTCGGTGCAGGATATATCCTGCCTGGCAAATATTCTTCAAGGCTTCGGGGAGGTTACGGGCATGGTGACCAATGTGGCTAAGAGCTCTATTGCCCCAATTCGCTGCTCCGATGTTGACCTCACCGCAGTTCTGGCAAACTTCTCGGCGGCTATCACCCAGTTCCCTCTCAAGTATTTGGGGTTGCCCTTGTCGCTTGGTAGACTCAGAAGGACCGACCTTCAGCCATACATTGATAAAGCTGCGTCAAGGTTGAACCCTCTGAAAGGAAGATTCCTAAATCGGGCGGGGTGCTGCACTTATGTGAAATCTGTCCTTTCTTCCATGCCGATCTTCCTCCTGACCGCTATCAAAGTGGATAAAGGCTTCCTAAGGGCTATGGCCAAGATCTGTCGCGGTATGCTATGGGACTGCAAGGAATCTGTCAGCGGTGGGAAATGCAAGGTCAACTGGCAGAAGGTCTGCCGCCCTAAGGAGCTTGGTGGATTGGGGATCCTAGATTTGGAAAGGTTCTCCCGCGCCCTTAGACTTCGCTGGCTTTGGGACGAATGGAAGGCTCCTGAAAAACCTTGGGTAGGTTTTGAAACTCCTAACGATGCCTCAGATAGACAGCTCTTCAACGCCGCGACTCGTGTTACTATCGGGGATGGCAAGAAGGCCTCCTTTTGGTCTTCCTCATGGCTTTACGGCAAGCCACCGAAAGATATGGCACCTCTGATCTTCAAAGCTTCGAGGAGGAAAAACCGAACGGTCCATGATGCCCTTACTGATCATACCTGGGCAGCGGATATTGCGGTGGAGGCCTTCACGGCAGAGCACATTGGTCAGTTCGTCCAGCTATGGGATCTCATCTCAGATATCCAGCTCTCCCCAGATATAGAAGATTCCATCATCTGGACCCTCTCCCCAAATGGATGCTACTCTGCGAGCTCCGCCTATAAGGCGCAGTTCATGACCGCGCTGCCTTGCTCCTTCGGCTCGATTGTCTGGAAAACGTGGGCGCCTCCCAAATGCCGCTTCTTCGCTTGGCTCGCCGTCCAAAATCGCCTCTGGACCGCGGATCGCCTGGCCAAACGTGGATGGCCACACCAGCCCTCCTGCCAGCTATGCCGGTGCTCCCCTGAGACGGCGAGACACATGCTCTTTGAATGCCGTTACTCCAAGAGGATCTGGTCCGCGGCGGCATCCTGGCTCTCCTGCCCGGAATTACTGCTTAGCATGGGCTCTGGTCGCCCCAAGGTGGTGGACTACTGGCAGGCCTTAGCTAGGTCGCCCTCTTCCTCTCCCAAGGGTCTAAAAACGGCTATCATGCTCATCACCTGGGAAATCTGGAAGGAAAGAAATGAGAGAGTCTTCAACAAGAAATCCTCTCTGCCGGTGGTGGTCATGCACAAGATAAGAGAGGCAGCAAAAGATTGGACTCTAGCGGGAGCAAAAAACCTGGCGGATCTTGTGGGCTGATCTGTTTGTTGTTTTTGTTTTTTCCTTTTCCTTTGGGATGGCCTAAGCCATTCCCACCTTGCTGTTGTTCTTGCTCCTTCTTTATCAATATAAGGCAAAGCTTTTGCCTCGTTTCAAAAAAAAAACATCCCGTAAAATCCTTTAGCACGTGTACTACCTCTGAAGCTCTACACTGCTTATACTTTTATATGGTTTTAATAGAGAAAGATCTCGGTTCCTTAGCTGAAAAATATATAAATCTGGTTTGCATTCGTGATGCTAACTAATGAGGAACAAACTCTGGGATTCAGGGCTTTCCACCTCTTCAACGAGGCTCTGCTCGCCAGGCAGGCATGGCGCTTACTCACTAATCCTCATAGCTTGTGTGCGCAGGTGCTTAAGGCTTGCTATTACCCGGAGGGCCGCCTCGAGGACACGTTCTTCTTGGGGAACGCTTTCTCTACTTGGTAGGGCATCCAGTACGGCATCGAGCTCTTGAAAGAGGGCATTGTTTGGCGTGTTGGCGATGGGCATATCATTCGCATCTGGCGTGACCGCTAGCTGCCTACTGAGCCGTCGCGTCAACCCATCACCCAGCAAGGAACCTGCTGGCTCAGGAGAGTTCTTGAGCTTCTCGGCTAGGCCGTCAATTGGCATTTGGACCTCCTCTGACCCCATTTCCTAACTCCGAACGATGATGTGATCAGTAGCATTCGTACATCGCCTCGCTTCACTGGCGACATCATTGCATGGGCGCCCGAGAAAAACGGTATCCTCACCGGTTACTCCACCAGTGCCTAGCCATGGACGAGCGCGAGTGTCCATTGGCAACATCCACGAGCAGGGCACCAGATGGTCGTCGAGCCATCTGAAGATCATATGGGGGTGCCCTGCTCCTCCAAAGGTACGCGTGTTCGCATGGAGAATTGTGACCAACTCGCTGGCCATTTCCAAACGATCTGGCCTCATCAGTAGCTCCAGACGGCCCGGCCTTGTTGGTAATCCCCTTCCGAGTACATCTCGAACCGCCGGCACTTGTCACCAACGAGCACAAGATGATTTTGGCGGAGGTCGACCATGTGCTCCTCATAGACGCATTCTGCCTCGGGGGGAGTTTGTGGCGGCGCCTGTTGATTGGAAGTGTCTGATGGGGTGCGGGGTAGCTAGAGTCGTTCCCCGTTCGCATTCTTCATCAACAATGTACAACCTTGAAATATTCTTACATCATCCAAAATTCTTGAGATGTATGGCTGCAAGTGTAAGTGCTACGGTACCCAAATTCTTCTAGAGTAAAGTAATGGCTGAGCCACCTCGATGCACCCATGCTACACCCACGCAAGAAAAACATCCCAAAACATTTCGAAAAAATCTAAAACTTTGTAGAAATGATTATCAACAAATGTTAGAGAGGCTTGCCAAGTTTTGTGGTCAAATGACATCCGAGGAGAACTGTACAATTTTTATTTTATTTTTTGCAAATTACATCATCCAAATCTACTCGCTGGTTACTAAAGCAATCCTCTGGTTTGGTCCAATAAAAAGGTATTCACATTAAATCGTCCATAGTTGGAAGGTTGCATGACAATAATTTGCTACCCTCGAACGGCTAAAATGTAATAAAAGATAATGGAGTAATCAAATGTGGGTGTATTAACATAAGTAGTATGTAATATGTACATACGGTGCAACCGCAAGGAACTGAAACAATCAATCTGCTTTGACAATCGGATCCGATCATATATATAACAAAAGATGCTTATATTTCCCCAAAAAGGTTGGAAGGAAATAACTGAACGATTACTGACTCGAGCAAGCGACACACACCTAGCTAAGCCTGCAGATCAAGATGGAAGCATGCAAGATTTATCATTGCAAGAAGAGGTGCCACCAGGATGCAGAAAACCGATCCCTGCTTACTCGTACTGACATAAAAGGAATATTTTGTTGCATGGAACCGACCTTGACATGACATCAAATTAGGAAGATTTTCTGTCAGCTCAGCGCGCGCTCACACACACGGATATATATATATTTTAACATGAATGCATCATAATTTTACATTCCATAAATTTTATCTTATTTCATACATAAAAAGAGAACGTAAGAAAATATATAATCACCATGGCTGAGAAAATAAAATGCACGCCTTAATTTGTGGCGTCAACCTCCATGGCTGCTGACTGAGATTGAATCATGTCCTCGATCCATGACCCAACAATGGACTGAAGATCAGACAAGGCACCAACCCCAGCTTGCACCACACTTGTATTCCTCCTGAAACAAAAATACGCACCTGCATGGTCAATGATAAGGAACAGCCAACCAAAACGAACCAAGGCAATGAAGAAAATGATGTGCACCTCCTCTGCTCCTTGCACACAGCTTCACTGAACTCCATTAGAGCCGCTATTACCTTAAACCCAGATATTGGATCCTTTATACCCCGCAATATGCTAGAGTAGGCCTTAAACAATCCCTCTATAAGCGGGTCACCATACTCAACCTTACCCACTTCTGAAACATGAGCACGATATTTTCCGTTGTTGGCGGCTTCTTTAAGCATGTTCATAACAGTCTCTAGGTACCTCTCAAAATTCCTGCCGATGGCAAGGGCGATCTCTCCAAAGCATGCCACAATTGAAGGTATAAGAGCCACATCATCTGACATGCCTTTGTAAAGAACGTCCATGATTTGATCAGACCATGGCACCGCCACTTTATCTCCCAAGACATGGCAGATATCACACATCACATGTAAATAAGTTGGAGAGAGCCGCTTCGCAGTAAAATGCTGCAAGAGCATAGGCATGTGTTCCCCAAAATCCGGACCGATGGCATGAGCAAGAGCACCAATGGCAAGGGCTGCTTTATGACGTGCACCAGGACAGTCGCTGCTGGTTAAGACACGGCACAATAGCAGCAATACATATTGAGCAGAGTCCCTAAGTGCAGATCGTTCGATTATGTCCCAGCTGCCCATCTTCTCGATTATTAGCTGAACTAGACCACACAGCAAAAACTCAAGAAGGCCACGATTCATCTTGCTGTCACCTGATGAAATTACTACACCGTCATGATTGACCACGACATTCAATCTTCTAAGGATTCTAGGCATTACGACTCTAATAGCTAGGGAAGCTTCAAATTCTCTTGTGCTACCGACTCTTACAATCTCACTCAATGCTTCATAAGCAGATGCACATGCTGGAAGCCCCAAAGGGGTAGGTTCCGAAGCAGAAAGCAGAGCGTCAATAACAGGCTCAACAAAAGGTGAAAGCTCTGATGAGTTCGACTTTGACTTTGATTGCGCATCTTCGTCGTAACCTAGCGCAAGATAATATATAGCTCCACAGACTTTGTCAGACACTTCTGAAACATCTTTAGTACTCTCTATCAGCACATCCATGATCCGAGGAAGGTTTGCATTTGTTACGATTCTATTTGAACTAGCTTGAGAATGCCGAAGCTCAAACACCCGCTGGAGTGTTCTTGCGGCGGTTTCTCTTACCTGCATGTTTGGATCTTTCATCATGTCAAGCAGCAGATCGATCACGGGAGCGAGTTTCTCAAGAGAGGGACCTTCTAGGATAAAACCTAATGCAAACGTGGCTGCCTTGCGACTTTGCCAATCTGACGCTATGATGTTAGCCCCAAAAAACCGCATCACGGGAGGGACAATTGCATCCCCGATACTTTTAGCGGCAAGGCCTAGGCATTCCATAGCACTTGTGGATAGGTCTTTTACCGAGAAAGGCTTTCGCCCCGCTTTATATATAAAGCATGTGGATAGGTCTTTTAAGCTATCATCTTCGTCTTGCTTTAACAGAGTTTCTAGAAGAAGTGGGGCAAGTGCAGAGAGGGGCTTGCCAAGAAAGCCACAATCTAGAGCGACGACATCATCGTCGTTGTCATCATCATCATCGCGCATGTAGTATTGTAGCCTAATCTCTCTTTCACAAGCAGCGCTCCAGAACTCAATAGAAGCAAGCGCAACAGATTCCACACCTCCTTTGAAAGCTTGGGTTGTAAGTCCAAGTATGGTTTCCATGTAGGGCTCTAACTTGGTGTGATCTCTGGATGCAATCGCAGCAAGGCACTCGAACGTCGCCTGCCTGAACTCCGTTTCTTCGGATTTAGCAGCATTGAGGACCGTGGCCATTATACGGGTTCCCTCATCATCGTCTTTACATATTCTCCAAACTTCATACCATAGAACGTTACGTAGAGCTCGAATTGCCGCGAGGCGGACATCGCGGCTTATGTCGTCCTCCACGCGGCTCGCCTCCACGATGAGGAAATTGAGAACGTCGTCAACCTGATCCGGCTGCAGGTACTTGTGCCTATCCTTGAAGACATGCTCCAGCGCCTCCAGGGCGGCCTGCTGCTTTAGAGGCGGCACGCCCTGCCTTTGTGCCGCGTTGCCCAGCAACCGGCCAAGGAGGTCCGGCCAGTCCCCGATGAACTCGAGCTTTGTGATGACCTGCGACGAGGTGCGCCTGGCGTCGGCGACCGGAGATGCTAGCGCCGTCATGAGCGACGACTCCTTGATGGTGGATCGGATGGATGGATCAAGGCTCAACCACCGGTGGACGAGTGGATCATTGATCGGGTGTACGTTGCCATCAGAGGAACCCAGCGAGTCCTTGAGGATGGTGCCGACGAGCCTCCTGGACTCGGGTGGGCTCTGGTCGCTGGAGAGCTCCGACGACAGGCGCAGGAGGAAGCCAGGTAGGTCGTGCTCCTCGAGCCGCTTGAGTTCGGCCTCTGCCACCGACCTTATGCCGTCGTCGTGGTGCTGAGCGTCCAGCAGAAGCTTGGTGATATCCATGTATCTGCAGCAAACATGGATCGAGTAGTAAGCACAAGTCGATCGTCGGTTAGCAAAAGCAAAAGCTGTAGGGAAGTGATGAACACGTACGTACGTACTGCAAATCCAAAGCGGACGGTGAAGTCAATAGAGGACGGCGGCGGCGGCGGCGGCGATTATGGACGCGAGAGACCGATCGCCGTCGGTTGAGTTCGGGTCGCTCATCAGAAGGCAAGATGAGGTCGGTTGAGTCCTGGGCCTCCTGGCCCGCCTAATATATAACGCAGTATGCCTCGTAAAGGGACGTGTGACGGCCTAAGCCCAGGTCAGGGTGGACACGGTCCCTGACCTACCCAGAGTTTGGACCGGCCGCCGGCGGTCCGGACCGGACCAGGACCGGACCGACCAACCTGGCGGTCCTGTTTTTAGAGACCGGACCTGTGGCGGCGAAGCTGGAGCCGGACCGAGCGGACCGGCCAACAACCATCGGCGGCGACGTGCACGGGTGCAGCGGCGAGGTGGGCGACGTGCAAGGGTAATGCGGCAAGGAGGGCGACGTGCAGTGGAAGTGCGCTGGGTGGCACGGCTGTTGTTTGATTGATTTTTTATGTAGCCATGAACCAGCACACACGATGTAGTATTTCTTAGCAGTTTCTCTGTTGCATGCAAGTAAGGGCATGTAGAATAAATAATGAGGTGAAAGAGAGAGCTCATAAGAAAAGACTTGTCTTCTTTTAGCATAATATATGTCTAACCACGTTTTTAAGAATAACTAGTTATTGAATATAAGGTGAAGAGATTATCCATTATAGACAATCTTTTTGTCATCTCTAAATTACATACAAGACATAAGATAAGACTCTCTTATCAACCATTGTACATGCCCTAATGTTGCGCGTGCATGAGCCCATGATTTTCTCTACGCGGGCCTTGCCCTGATTAGGGGATCAAATCTAACGTCGAGAATGTCATCAAATGACGCCATGATTTTTGGATCAAACCCATTTTCTCTCGTACTTTCTGTTTTCTGTTCGGCTCAATAAAAGGAACGGCAGCATAGGATCGATGACGCGTGATTATAGGAAGCCGCCTCTAAATTTAGAGCCTTCCAAAACACTACTGTACTTGTGTAATCTTTTTTTTTGAAGGAACTGTACTTGCGTAATCTGTTGGACGTGAAAGTCACGGCAGAGCATTATTCCCATGATCCAAAAGTCACGGCGGAGCATTTCTCCCACGATCCAAAAATCACGGCCGAGCGCTCTCCCATGATTCGACAGTGCGTGCTTGCTCTGCTGAAGTGGCTGCCATGGCACTTGTCTCCACGGTCTAAAAGCGCTGCCATAGCAAGAAATACCGCTGCTATGGAAGGAATTGGTGCAACGGTTGGGGTCCATGCCATGGTCGAGAGCTCGAGAGCGGCTGCCGTGCACTCACGATAGCGACGGCGAGCGGTGGCAAGATGCTAGGACGACACGGGGAGGTGAGAATGGAAGGGAAGGGCAAGCCTGGAGACATGGTGGTTCACCCGAGGGCTGCCATGGAAGGAACTAGATCGGAATCGCGCCTTGGCGCGAGGGTGCCGGTCCGAACAATTTGATCAAACAAGGAATGTTCATGTTAGTAGGAATCCTCGTTAGCATATGCATTCAACAAAATAAAAGAAACAAATTCACTTGTAATAGAAGCAAGACATCATCTGAGTTCAACATCGTCATTAGATTATATAAGGCAGCATAAAGTTCAAGTTCAGTGCTTTCATGAGACCACAAAAGGTAGCCATTTGACAATAAGTTCAGTACTAAGAGCGCAAAAATGAGATAGTTAGCGCGCCCTGGCAAGCGTTGCCTACTTCAACCCTTGGTCCAACACACCAAATCCAAAAAAATAAACTTGGTACACATTTCACCAAGAATATAAGTTCACATCACACCAATCTCAAAGAAAGAACACATAATAAGGATCTCAATTTTCAAGAGGCATTCCTTCGGTTATCATGCTGAGCAACAACCTGTTGCAGCAAAACAATCAATAACACTTAAAACTACCAAACTAAAACCTTAAGCCACATAATAAGAATCTGCATCTCCATACATAACACAACAACAAATACCTATACATAAGTGGTCAAATTCACTATTAAACTATCTTCCAAAAAAGGATCATCAAATTATTATAGTAGCTCAAAGCTCGACGCATCAAGTTTGAAAAAAAGAAATAGAACAAAACCTACAATTATAGCAAGTTATTTATACAGAAAGCAACACACCCCACAGGTCTTTCATAATGATTAGATCAAGTCATTTGTACATAATGAGACTGGAGGCTGAGTAATGTATAAACAACCGAAAGCCCTTTTATGCAGCTTCAGTTGCAATAACAATAAACAGTTTTAATGGCACATATAGTACATACTATGTAGTCTGTTTCCCGGCAAGATACCCTGTCCTGAAACAACTTCTGTCTATTTATCATCAATGGGAGGAGCACACACAGAGAAGAGAAGGAGGAGGTGTTTTGTCACCAGATGATCTTTTTCGTCGGAGACAAAGATGAGGAACTGTGCTTGTTGCCGGCGCCGTCCGTCCCGCTGCAGCTGCCATCACCGCTCCAACCTGGACATGGCTGCACGCAAGACAGCAAGCCAAGTCAAGAAAAGGCGGCATCTCCCAAACAAAAAGGATGCATGGGAAGGAGGGGCTCACCTCGGCTTGATGCCAGACCGGGGTTCGCTTGCTCCTCCTACAATGCACAACACGTTGGGCAGGGACAGAGGTTGCACAAATACTTTGCCCTGTATCTTATATGAACAACATTATAGGTACAATCATCCGTAAAATGTGATATTTAAAACAAATTTATAGCTACGAACAACATCCTTGAAAAAGTAGAGCTACACCCAAAACATAATCATGTTACATCAGTTAGCTGCTTGCATATGAAATAAGAAATGTCGGGGAGACTGTAGATAATGTCTAATGGAGAACCCAATCATACTGGTCACTCCAAATCCACAACATGAGAAAATGTACGGAAATGCAGATATCCGTAAGAATAGAAAGCTTGAAAGGCCTTTAGAAACTGAATACAACTATAGAAGTAGGAAAAAACAATTGTAACTTCAACAGGGTGCATATATCCATCTTTACCTGAGGGCTGCTGGTGGTTCACCCGAGGGCTGCTGGTGGCCGTGACGATGAGGAACGGCGGTGGCTGTCGTAGTGTTTTCTCGGTCCGCTCAGTCGGCCCGGTTAAAGACCGAACCGTCCAATTTCACTGGCGAGCCAGGACCGAGCGGGCCAAGATTGAACGGGCCACGAGTGGCCGAAAAGCCAGCTCGATACGTCCAGCCTGCCCAGGCGTCACTCAAATCTAAAGAGGGAGCAACTAATTAACGAGCGCTCCATCGGGACATTCACAACGATCAGCGCCACTTGGCGCGCTCTCAGCCATTCGCCACGTGTCGCGCTCTAGGTGCTCCCTCCGGATTTTGTTTTTATTTTATTTTCCGCACACGTTTTCGGCCTTTTAAACGTTTTTTTTGTTTTTTTTTTGATATTTTGGTTTTCCACCGGTCTTCCCTAGCTTTTCAACTAAAAAGAATTCAAAAAAATTTGGGCAAAAACACATATTTTTTTCTTTCGCGAGAGTCACGGTTTTGCTTTCGCGAGAGTCACGGTCGTGCCTCTCGGAAACAGAAAAAAAACACGGTTTCTGTTTTTTTCCTTTCGCGAGAGTCACGACCGTGCCTCTCGGAATAGAAAAAACGCGTTTCATGTTTTTTTCGCGAGAGTCACGGTTTTGCTTCCGCGAGAGTCACGGCCGTGCCTCCTTGGAAACCAAAAAAAACCACGTTTTTTATTTTTTTCATGAGAGTCACGGTTTTGCTTCCGCGAGAGGCACGGTTGTGATTTCGTCAGAGGCACGGGTGTCCCTCTTTCAGAAAGGAAAAAAACCGTGCTCCTGGTTCGGTTTTTTCGTCCGGTTTTTTTCATGAAAAAAAGTTCGTCAAAACCTATTAACATGGGATCTAGTTTGAAGACCTCGACGCGAGGAATCCAACGGCGAAAGCGGTTTGAGATTTGGACGCACGGTTTAAGAGATAAAACGTTTTGAATAAACGGATCTATGAAAAAAGAGAACTCTCAGGTTGCGACAAGTGCCACATATGCAGAGCGCCACTTGTCGCAGCCTGGGGGAGTTGGAGTGATCTTCGCAAGGAGTACTCCTTAACTAGTGATTTCGATCTAAAGAGTCTTGCTGCCCTGCTACCTTCAAGTTCGGCCAATTAGCTTCGTACCTTATTTTGTATTTCTTACATTTATTTTTTTGTATTTATAAAGAAATACATATTCACCTTTTGCATTCATTTCTTTTTGGCGGCGGCTAGGCGCAGCGGGCGGCCAGCCATGGACGGCAGTGTGGGCTACGCACTACTAGAAAAAGGGCTGCTAGTGGCGCACCTGTTTTTGCTACTAATGACGCATTACAGGTGCGCCACTAGCACCACGCCATTAGATTTTTTTTCTAATGGCGCACCGCTGGTGCACCATTAGAATAGCCCATGGTGCGCCATTAGTATCTGGTATACTAATGGCGCACCACATAGAAGTGCGCCATTAGTAACAATATTTTTTCAAAAAAAATATTCAAATTATTTTTTTCAATTATTTTTTTCAATTTTTTTTTGTTTTTTTCTTAATCTCAATTCACTATGGCTTAATCTCGGGTCAATATGCTTAATCTCAGTTTGAGATTTGGACACACGATTTAAGAGATAAAACGTTTTGAATAAACGGATCTACGAAAAAAGAGAACTCTCAGGTTGCGACAAGTGCCACATATGCAGAGCGCCACTTGTCGCAGCCTGGGGGAGTTGGAGTGATCTTCGCAAGGAGTGCTCCTTAACTAGTGATTTCGATCTAAAGAGTCTTGCTGGCCCTGCTACCTTCAAGTTCGGCCAATTAGCTTCGTACCTTATTTTGTATTTCTTACATTTATTTTTTGTATTTATAAAGAAA